CTGAATCTGTCTGTGAAACAAACTTCACGGACCAATCCAGCTTGTTGTTCTTGCTGAACAGTAAGCTGGTGCATCTTCAACTTTCCAAAAACATGGGATTGGTTTTTTGGATAATGAGAGTATAATCATTTGAGTTTTGTAATTCAAATTGTACTCCCCCTTTGTGTTTTTACTTTCCTTCTAAATCAATTTTCACGGAAAACTTCTGCTTGTAGAACACAAAGGGTGTCAGGCCTTTTAATCAACTTTAACTCATTTGTGAGAAAAGTCATTGACCTGTTGACTGAGCTGGTTGAGTTGAGTGACAAGAGCAAAGTTGTTCACCTGTTGACTGAGATGGTTGTTTTGAGTGACTATATCTGTCACTTAAAACAACCATCTCATTCAACGGATTAACAACTTTGCTCAGATATCTGTCACTCAACTCAACCAACTCAGTCAACAGTTTAATGACTTTGCTCACAAGTTAGTTAAGTGAACAAAGATTTGTAATGATGATGTCCAAACTCATGGAAAAATATTTATTCATAATAGAAATGGATGAACTTAAATGATTATAAAAAGGTTGCAAAGGTTTTCCGAACTCCTTTTTTGGTCACAATTCACCCTCCCTACTTCAACTACTTTGTTTGAGCTCCCTTTGTTGCTTGATCCTTTTCTGATTGAATTCTGATGAACACCTTTTATAACCTGCCTCTTGCATTCTTTCCCAACAATGCCTGAACCAATACAACACAGAGGTTGATATCTTATTGGTTTCGTATTGGCAATCTGACCCAAAAAGTCAGATTTTCTCATATTGGTTCAGCCTACCCCACATGTGGAGCCCCTTTTTTCATGTCGGGTAGCGGCAATACAATATCCAGGCTTGAACCAACATGAGATCACCTCATAAATTGACTGCTTTGAACCCCAATTGCAGTTGAATTGGCACTTTTGCTACAAATTCCATACTGTATCGGCTCTTATTGTTTGGGCTATACAATATGAACTGCAAGATTTTTTTGGTCTTCATATTGTATTGGGTATAGGTTCAGATATGTCTGTCCCCCAATGTGACATGCAAAGTGTCCAAAAAGTCGCATTGTATCCAATTGGTTTGGGTGTTGTTCCCAAATCCATCTTCCTTGGGCGACCAGCCCTGATTCCCCACCGCCAACATATTTACCTCAGATTTTTTAATCCGAGGCATCCTTGAATGCAAAACCTTGGACAGAAGCTTCCCAAGTTTTTGATCTGAGGTAATTCTCAGGGCAAAAGAATACCTTGGACAAAGTCTGTCCAAGGATTTGCCTCTGATGATGCCTCAGATTTCTCAAGCCAAGGCATGTATGCTGGCAGTGCCCATTTGTCAAACATGTCACAACTTCCACTCACGTCATGAGGCATATATACACAGCCATCATATATGCAAGAATATGAGGAGTTCTTGGACTTCCACTCCAAGGGAAGCTCCGGCCAAGGATCCAATCCGAGGCAACTGCAATGGCCAAAATTTGCCTCAGAGGTATTCTTTGGGTGCCCTTTTCCTTGGGGGGAGCATCCAAGGACTCCTTGACATATGTTGCTGAGGCAACTATGAGGGAAGTGCCGGGTGGTCTGGTAAAAAACAGAAAATTTTTACTGTGATACATCCCATCTTTGAGAGTTGAGGGCACACAAAATGTTTCTTGAAGGTCATGGGTCCCCCAAGTTTGCCGGTCAGCAGCCACATAATTTTTGTTTTGGTCTGGAGACCTGTTGAGATGTGTGCAGGCATCATCTTGGACTCTTTTTAAGCTTTCCTGAAGCTTCTCTGAAGCTTGCATGAAGCTTCTGTGAATTCTTTCTGAAGCTTTCATGAATCTTTCATGATGCCATGGTAATCTCTGGCCTGCCAGAGCCTAGCATCTGGAGGCTGTGATTGGGATGCTCTTGAGCATGTAGGCGCCCTATGTAATGATTTCTCAGTCACCAGTGACAGCACATCTTCCAACCAATCTATGGTGCGCCTTTTGGGAAAAAGATCCAAGCATTTAGGTATTCATCGGCCATTTGAATTGAGATTCCATGGCTGTATGTGCCATGTGATCAACCTGGTGGCAAAAGATTTTCCTGAGCAAATGGGCAAGTTGACTGACACTGATATAGCTGCATTTGAGACTGCAAGGATGGCTGACTCACAAGAATCTTTTGCGCCTGACAAGCTACCAACAACAAATGTCAAAAAATGCCTCAATGACTTCCCCGCAGGAATGCAAAGTTCTGCTTCAGTCCTTGACCAAGCCTCTTTGGATGTCCATGGTCCCATGCAAGACAATTTTGATCAATTTGACTTTAGTCAAGATCCTTTTCCCAAATCATTCAATGAAACTGTCTCTTCCGCGGACACATCCAATCCCAAGAAGAAATCTACCGTGGTCAGCCGTCTCAGAGCGTTGGATACCCACATACGCACAAGCCCACTCAAGCTCAAATTCTATGTCACAATTCAAGACAGTGTCCAAGAGCCTGAAATCCTCCCTCTTAGCTGCCCCACTACCTGTTGGAATTACTTTTGGATGTTGTGAGTGTTTTGTGTTCTTATTTATTTACATTTTCCCATGTTTGAAGTATGAATTCAAACAAGCTTGATTGCTTTGTAGTTCCAACACACCCTAGCCCTCAAGAAGTACATTCAACTGTACACTTCCCCCGACCCAAAATGCGCCAAATTTGACATCTCTCAATCCAACTGGGGATTAATTGAGTATATGTGGCTCATACTCAAGATGTTCAAGTCCGCAAACCAACTCTTTCAATCTAACAAGCCCACCAAACAATGGGTACTTCCAACTATGAAGAAGCACCAAAATGTTCCAGGTGCTTAGGGTTGCTCTTGCGAACACACCAAAGATAAGTTAGTTAAGTACATGTATCACAAAGAATTGAACGTCCAGACTTTGGTGCCACTTTGCTTGACCCCTATAATCAAGACACAGTGTTTTGTGATTGTGAAGAAGTTGAAGCGCAAGCAAAGAGGTTTCTTTGAGAAGAATACAAACTATGGAAGCCCAGCCCTACCAAAACCGCATGTGAGAAAGCTCCACCACCCATTGCTGATTGCGGCCCTGTAGCCAGCAAACTTCAGGTAATTTACTCCTTGTTGGGCAGCCACTCCAATGCCCCTATCAACAATGCAAGCAATGAGCTTGATGAAGTCTACTGTTACTGTTTGGGAAAGGAGACTCTCCTGCCCAACAAGAGTGTTGGACAATACTGGACAGTAAGTAACCAATTTGTCTTTGTCTTGCATGCACTTTCTGACATATGTCTATGTTTCAGTGTATGGCCAAGCCTGGGGCCCTTCTCACTTTGGCCAAAATAGCCCTCCAACACCTCACCATTCCTGCATCTGGGGCCTCAGTCGAGTGAGTGTTTTTGATTTTGGGGAATATAGCTGTTCCGTCCAGAGGCTGTCTCCACACCAACATCATCTGTCCTTGTCCTAATCTGGCACTGGCCCACCAATGATGATGCTTTGATGGATTTAGAGGACTAATTCAGATGGTATTACAATCAAATTGCTTATGTTTCATTTCACATGACCAAAATTTTGCCAAATACAAATCAAACACCCCCATTATTCCTCCCTTTTTCCAAATTGTGTTCAGAAAGACATGGAAAACTCCCCAAAAATTTTATATGTTCCATATTGCTTTATTTTTCTAAATACATTTGTGATTAGACAAAAAGAATAACCCATTGTTTATGTGTCCTACAATTACCACAGGTTTGTGGTTCAGTGAGAGTGAGGAAACCCAGAAAAAAAATACTTTTGTTGCTGCCCCTTCAAGGGCCACCAAAATCGCCCCCAGAGTAAGAGTATTCATATGAGTAATGAGTACTCACACACCGGGTACATGTGATTCTGCTCACTCAGAGCAGAATTACACGTGAGTCTGGAGACTTGGTGAGTTGTGCAATAACCATACAGCTTGTAGATGGGGGCATAATGAGTCCCGTCCTCAAGGCAACCCTGACTTTATGTACAGCTAGAGTATTGTGCTCTAACTGTCACTGGATCAGACGCTACTCAATTTGAGTTTGTCAGACCCTGCAACCAGATTATGAGCGTGAGTTTCCCACACCTTCATCCCTGGATACAACACAGATGGCCTGGCTTCTGAAAACATTGAAGAACACTGGCTGATTGTACAAGGAACCTACACAACTTGGGGTAAGTTTAGGTGGAGAAATCCCTTTCAGAATCCTACTGTTCATGATTGTTAGTTGTTCTGTCACCCCTCAATTTCAAGTTGTTTGAATTTTACCTGATTGCACCTAGTGCCCGGTGCATCTCAGTCTTCAGGACTCTATAATAAAAGGGCATACAATGGTATTAAAGAAGGTGGAAATACAAAACAATGCTCTTCCTTTGATCAAACGGTAACAAGACACTTCCATTGATTGAGGGCAAGTCTTGAGGTGTATAATTGGTTTAGAGTACAGCATGAAGTAGGAACTGGTATTTTCATCACAGGTTTGAACAGGAGCTAAACAGCAAAATTCAGTCTACCACTAACAAAGCTGATGTAAAGCTCAAACCCCAAACCCCCAACCCCCATTCAACCAGACTTCAAAGATGAATTTTTACAACACCTCAGAAACAGTTGATTGACAAAAACAGAATTTGTGGTGTAGTTGTATTTGTGAACTCACACACCATGTTACACAAAACTTCCACAGAAGATCTAGATTAAGTACATAAATTCTTAACTTTTGGTGGAAAAATGAGGGCAAAGTGGCTATACTTAGCTCAAAATGATGTCAGAACAGACCCCAAGATAACCATTAGACAACCTTCATAACATTTGAAAAAAGATAGTTGAGAATGTGAAAAAAAGAATCAGCACACATGGATGATGTACTACAATCTACTTTAAAATATTTTCCTATCATACTTATGACTGTCAGATCTATCCTGTATAACTAGAAAGTGGAGAAATGTACCCTGTTCAGCTGCAAATAAGATGTACACATCAACCTGTCTTAGCCTTCTTATCTAAATCTACCAGCTCTGTCTCTTCAGGCTCTCTAGGTGCTTTATGCTTGACCCCTAGCACTCTTTTAGTGATTTCTTCCAAATTTTCATCATCTGATTGGTCTTGAACATATGCTAGGAACCTATTTATCACATTCTCATGATTTTTCCAAGATGATGCACTATTCAAGAATCGTTTCATGACAGAGTCCAAGACATCTTCCTCAGTGTATTTGATCAAATCTGTTATGAGGAATGGAGACTGGAAAGTATCTTTGCTTGATATCATCTCCAGATAGAATGGCATGTCTTTTTGTGTATGTGTTTTTATCAAAAAGAGGAATCAGGTATGTAATACACTCAAAGGCCTAGAGAATTACTTACGTTTTACCCAGAAGATTATAGCCTGGACTTCATCAAAAAGTGTCTTCTCACTCTTTGCGTCATAAATACCAAAATATATTTGTCTTTGGCAATCACAGAGGGCTTGTGACAATATAATACTACAAACAAAGAAGTTTCAAATTAGCCTTGACACCTGATGAAGCCTGAACTATTTGAGGAGATTTTCATCCAAGACACACTCTTTTTCCAATGACTTGATAGATGTGACCAAATCAGATGTGAGAGCTTGGTACTCTTTACTCCATGAATTCTTGACCATTACATGCATCTCATCCCAGACATTATGTGTGCCTCTTTTCAACCAGCTGATCTGAATGATTTGGGACTCAAGAATTTCCTTGACAGTGCCTTTCACAGACATGTACAAACTCATGTCTTTTATTGGGTTGTTATAAATTTTCAGCTTTGTGATTGTTAAAAGTGAGAGAAAAGATGACTCACTCAATCCCCATGATTTATACAACTTGACCTCATCATTTGGGGACCACTTTTTCTCCAGGCGGATTCCATACTCTCCTAACTTTTCTTGCTCATCTTTTGTGAATATATTATTGACCTCTTTAGGTTTTCTGTGAGAATCACCAAAAATGAAACACAATCAGAACTATGCTGAAGATAAGAAGTCAGGATTCTTTGCCCAATATACCTTTCATTTCCAAGTAAACCAATATGGTCCCTCAGCTTTTTTTCATATCTGTTTGCTAAACCTGAGATAAAATTGGAACATTTGGTTTTTTCCAATTGTCCTGTCCTTTCTTGCTCTATTTTCAAGATAAAAAGGGTCTTCTGAAGCACTGGTGTTGTCATAAAATCTGAAATGGTGAACATAAATCCCCAGATTTCTTTTACAATGACTGATGGTTCTATCCTCAATATTTCTTGGATGTTTTCAGGCCAAGTTTCCATGTTTGATTGTAACATTCTGTTCATCAGCTTGAGGGACTCTAGAACAAGTGAGTGTATGTTTAATTTTTATTAGTTTTTATATGCTTTTGGTCTGTTTTGGTTTTTGACATATGACATACTAGGAGGAATATTAGTGGAAGGATTACAAGGGAAGAAGGGTGCAGAATTCTTCCTGTCCTCTAGGTTCTTATCTAAATACTTTGCAAGCAGATCCTTTGAGCTTGATCTGGTTGAAGTTACACCAGGATGGATATACCAATCTTTATTATCCTCTTTGTTTATGGAAATGATGTCACAAGCAACAACCCAGATTTCTCTCATTAGCGCCAGAAATCCCAATTTTAAGTAGGTAGCTACTTACCCACAGCACACAAACCTGAATCTCCCATTTCAACTGGGTGGACAGCAGACGCAGGAGTGGCAAAGTACCACCATTGCAGCATAATACGGGTGCAAGTCAAAATCAGTGTATTGTATCCTTTCATGGTTGGTTATAGATGTTGTGATATGATCTGAGAATTTCTGGTAACTTTATAAGAACTTCAAAGAGCAGATGCAATGTATATGAACAATGCCACTGAGAGCATGAGGTGGCAACGAAATCTATAATACTCAGGGAAGCTGAGCAGACCCTGAAACCAAGACAGCAAAGACACCCCCATAGAATATCATTGAAATTACAATTTCTGAAGTCAAAAATTTCATGCATGATCAAAGTTTGGGCTTGCGGGGCTTGGCTTCATCTCACAGCTTTTGAACAGGCCAATGGATCATAAAGCTATGGATCTGGTGTCAGAGCTTCATTGAATCCTTAGGCACAGGGTCCGGTGGTAAGGCAAGCTAATCATAAGCTGTCTGGCATCTAGCTTTCATTTGAAAGACCCTGGTATCATTTGAACCACTGAAGTGGTACTTGTCCCAGATCTCTATGTTTGCTGCCTATTTTATGCAGACCAAAGATGGCAATCAGATGAAAGAACAAGGATGCTGGTGAGGGGCTTAGTTAAGCTTAGACCTTACCTGAATCTTTGAAACAAACAATGACATACTGCTGTGCTTCGCTCTTTGTTTAAGAAAGCTTGAGTATCTTTATTCGCAGACTTGCAAGTCGTTTGGCTGCATAATCTCGGGATTTTGTCAAGATCTTTTGAAATCGACTGAATGGCTTACCAATTTGAAGACATCGATGGAGCGGTAAGTACAAAGAGAGATATGGAAATCAGGTTACAGCACAGATCGAATCACATGAACCAAACTCATGATCAATCAAACATCAAAATCATACATCATGAAAAGAATCTATGGCTTATCTGTACTTACCCTTGAAGTTGGTGAGGTTGCTTGTCTGCTGTGTTCGATTGTCGTCAAGGTGCACCGCTCCCGTTGATTTTGATCCCAAGTCCGAGCTTTTACCTGATCAAGACCTTCACATTTGAATGAATTTGAATAGTGGCTGATTCAGAAACTTTGCACTCTTTACTGATCATTTGATCATCATCACAAGCTCAATCGTCCTAGCTTGAGCTTTGTTGGCTGATAATGAGACAAGTGTACCGCAACTCTTGATGATCAATCAATATCGACCCCGCACATCTACACAGTTGGTTGTTCTGAACAAAGAGACGTGTTGGGAATCGAACGCGACGAGATAAGGAACATCACAACTTTGATGGTCAGTGCGAGTGGAGAAAGCCCCTGAAAGCCCTTATAGAATCCGTTGGTTGGTCTGTCACCTGTCAATTTCAAGTTGTCTAATTATTTTCCCTGATCGCCCCAAGCGCCCTGTTCGTTTCAGTCTTCAAGAGTCTACATCACCCTATAAATACCTTGCTATCTCTCGTCTTCAATTCCTTCTTCATCACCATTAATTATTCCATCACTTTTCACTTTTTCACTTTTCAACAGATATCAAAACTTTTATTCATCACCATTTCTTGTACTACATCTAATAAAACAATGCTTCACAAAATAGCCCTCATTGTCTTGTTGCAAACTGTAGCTCTCTTTCAAGGATCTCAGCAAGCTCTTACTGTTTCAATCGTGGATAAGAATAATTTCTGCCTAGTCGTTCCCAAGGATGCCCACACCAATATTGTTAGTCTCTCATACACAATATGAATTTTGATATCTGTTCAGCTAAAAATCGCTTTTGGCTTCTCTACAGGGAGACTCTGAATACCCAGGAGGAGAGGCAGTTTGGTGCCAAGGTCAAGGTCAAGGTGGCAGTGGAACCTTTAATGGACCTTTCTGGTCACAAGTAGAAGTTGCTAGACCAAAGCAGGGCGTGGTACAGGTAATCATCGAACTCCTCAAGATTCAGGGCGTACTAGTCGGATCCGATAAGCTGATTAGTGATTATGTTCCTCAACACCTCAGATGACCGGATGTATCAACATCAATAGTTCAGATCGGTAAGCACAAGCAATTCGATTCATCAGATGAACCACTTTTCGTGACAAGGCTTCTTTACTGAATTTCAAAAACTTTTCCGATTAACCCTAGCTTCAATGCAAATGACGGGGGCGGTCAATATGACTCCAACGGTGGTGATGGCGGAAGGGGAAATCCCGCTGGCAGTGTTTGCAAACAGTGCGCTTATATTTTCAAGACTCCCTTTTTTTGTATTTGATTCATTGCTGACTTTGACTAATTTGTGAAATAATGTCAGGTACCCGGTTTATGTAGAGCTCATTGAGCCAGCTGCTAATAGGGCTTGTATCAGGTGTTGTCAAAACGCGTAAGTCCTAATATTCAGCTTGATTCTATATCCTCACCGTGAACACAAGTAACGATTCCTTCCTGTTCAGCGCGGATTGCGACGTCTCACGAGATACCTCTGGTTGTCCAAGTGTTATACCTGGTCAGTCCATCTCACTACGAATCTTGAACATAACTGAATTGTAAATCGAATCATTTTTTACTAATGACAATTCCATGTACCTTTGATTATCAGGAAACTACTTTGGATGCGCATAAACTTCTCGTTCGACTTTCTCTTATTGATTTTCTGTATTTGAATTATTTATGAATTAATGGACAATTTTCTTCAATATGATTTGATCCTATTTCCGTATTTTAAATAATTTACTCATTTTTATTCTTGCGCGTGTTGTTTGCTTTGAAATTGCATGCCTAAATCGGTCCTTCTTGCTCTAAGTTTGATAGCCCATCTCTTCGAATGAGGAACATGATTGGAAAACTCCACAAGTTTAGACTTTGTTCTTGAGTATCTTTGTGGATACTGCTTATCATGTCCAGGAGCTGCAATCTCCCCATTTCGGGGCTCCGATCTGCATACCCCAGGATACTTTTCAAAGGTATGGATAGTGAGTTTCATGTTTTCTGATATACATAGATCTACAAATCCATCAAGAAAGTTTGTACATAGCTCCTGCTGGCTCTGATGCTAACATGTGAATGCAATTCGCAGTCGTTCAGTGAGGGATGTTGCAGAAAAACCTTAAGCGGTCGAGGTTCTTGACCAGAATGTCAATGTAACACGGTTATTGATTGCTACGCTGCGTTGAGTATCCCCTATGCCATTTTGATTAATATCAACAGCGCACACTTCCGAGATTTGCCCCTATTTAAGGCCTAAATTCCCTGCCGAAGTGATCACCTACCGAGGTAATTCACTGACGAGTCCTTTCTCGGCAGGAAAAAAGTTTGTACATAGCTCCTGCTGGCTCTGATGCTAACATGTGAATGCAATTCGCAGTCGTTCAGTGAGGGATGTTGCACTTACCCACTCACCAAGAGTGGCTTGTTGAGTTGATCAGCTTGTGTTATCAACCTGGCTTGCACTGCCTTTTCTCTGATCGCTTGAAGACTGGGCTGAAACGCGACATACCTTTCTTACCAGCTCTTGACGCACAGCTTCTCCAATGATCAAGTGATGGCTAAGCTTAACTAAGCCCCTCTCCGCGCGGCCGCGTCCGCGCCCTCGAAGAGGGGCTTACCGCGGAGTCGTGATTTTTGGCGGAGGACTTCCAAGATTTAAGTACTGTTATGTACTTCTTTCAACTTTCCCTCGACACCTCTGGCCAGAAAGTGCCAGCCTTCTCATATGTTGTTCTCGAAGCTTTTGTACATATTCTGATACCACACACTTGTGGTTTACCCTGCGGAACCGTTTGCATGTTGGGTGGTAAGCTTCTTTGGATGTGCACTGTATGTATCAGTCAAATACCACGGAAAATACCCCGGAACGGTTTTTTGGGACAAAACTCCAAATATGTGGGCAAAACCCATTTGCGTTTTGTCCTTGGTTTTAGTTTGGTTTTGTATGGGATGGCTGAGCACGGTGAGGTTAAGTACGCGTTCTTGTGGTTACGCGCTTTTGTGGTACACAAAAAAATTGCACAAAAAAATGGGAGGAGATTTTGGCGCGCGGAGATTTCCTTAACTACAGAGTGACCGCTATCGCAAAATGCAGCCTCAAGAAATCACAAACAGCCAGCGACCTCCCTTCGAGCAAGAAAGCAAAATCCGCCAGCGTCCCTTCATCGAGTCAATTGCTGTGCAGCTATGTTCTACTGCAAAAAGTCAGCAGACCTTCGCTAAAGAGGTATTTTACTCTTTTTTATGTGCGGATCACCCTGTTTTAAAAGAAAGTCGACAATATTGGGGTATTGAAAGGGGTTTGAACTCCACTTTTCAAATTGTGCGTGCAATCAAGGACCTCACTCAAAAAAGTGAGGAAGGCCGGAGTGCATGGTGCAAGTTTATTTTGGGCGAGGTGAGTGTTGTTCTTTCTTTTTATGGTGTTATACAAATTAATGATAATGTATGTCATAGGCGCAGGAACAAATTCAACAGGAAATGATGTCCAAACCTCGAAGTTTTTATAGTTCACAAAAAATCACAACCGAGTTCTTCGAGCTAGGCCAATTAAACGCGCGTGATAATATGTTAAAGGCCTCAATGCCATTCTTGTGGAATCTTATGTATCATCAGTTATCTCTTAGATCAAACAATCGTGTGGCTCTTATGGTGCCTGCTCACCGCAGCAGCGTTTGGGACACGTTGGAAGACGAACATTCCGAACATGATCCAATTGCTGAACCTGGCCTGGCTACTGAAACAGTTGGTGAGAGGGAAGCCCGCCATGATGAGGAAATGCTATATGTTCCAGAAGACAAACATAAGGCAGAAAGAGACCGTGCAAATCTGGCAAGTACCACCCTGACTTACTTTACAAACATCACGGTCACTCAACTGACCTCATATAACTGTTTTAGGTTGCAACCACAATATGTGGCATGGTCTCGTACATGTCTAATTATAGAGATAACGCGCTTCAGCTGCACAACGCGTTGACTTTCATTGCGACTGGAGTGTCTGATAGAGTTTTTCAATACTTGAATACTCTAGGCCTGTCAAGTTCTCGAGATACAGCTTTACGAACTTTAAATCATCTCAAAATTGAGCGAGAACGCTCACTGCGATCACTTATGGCCCAGCCTTATACTATATGCCCAATTATCTGCATCGATAACTTTGATATCTTACAAAGGGTTCACAATACCCGAGTAGAGACTGTGTCGCGTCTCTTCCATGGCACATGGGGGTATATTCAGTTTTTACCTAAATACCTAGAAAAAGATATCTCGAATGAAAGTCCGAGCACTCACCTTTGAAACTACCATCAAACATTAGCTGAAGCTCAGAAATCCCTGGTTCGGTTGGACATTTTCAGGGAGAAGGCGAGTGATATGACCCAGTGGGAGGCCACTTTGAAAAGTCAGCTAGCCACGGTCATGTACAAATACATTCTCAAGGCTGGAACAACTCCCTCACCCAAAATCGCTACAAGCCCACCTCCGGTAGACCAGATCCCAGTAGACGATCGACATCTGTTTCTGATGAGCCTAATGGACGCGGCCGACAACTCCGCAGATGGGGTTGCCCAAGTGTTTGATGAAATTGCTTCTCAATGCGGGCTGACCCTTGAAGATATGTCCAAATGGATCAGGATTCTCCAAGGAGACCTTGGGACATGTCAGAACATTGAAAGTCTTCGAAAGAAGCGTGCTCCCGCCGGTACTGTCGTAGGAGGACTAAATAGCATTCTGACTATCCCTGGTGTTTCCCATATTATGTGGAACCTGGCACAAGGTATTCTATCACATCATTGGGGTGATACACGTGACTCTAAAGACACTGGCGCGTGGAAGGCATGGCAGTATTTGGGTGGTTTACAAGGGGCTCAAGCTAAACTTCCATCGAGCATGGATTTCGGAACCGTTATGAAAGCGCTCCACTCGGTTCACTACGCAACTTTGGTATCGTGTTTAAGGTGAGTCTCCCTTTACTGTATATTGGTCATAAGTTAGATGACCGATATTTTATGATTGTTTCTCCAACGCGATGTAGGCACACAATGTCACAATACGAGACTCCTCCTGACCTAGCAAAGGAAGGTGTGGCCCAAGAGCTCATTGATAGATGTTACAATGACTTTTGCACCTCAGAATCTTTGAGAGCGTGTCAAAAGAAAGGCGACAATGTTGGTTATAATTTAAGGCTTCGGATCCGTGATTTTGCGACCGTAGTTGAAGCCGATAGTGCGACACACGCGGGAGATATTGGAAGGTTAATGCTGATGTGGAAACGGTGGTCAATCATGGCCCATGGCTTAAAGGGGTTGCCTTGATATGCATTGCATCTTACTCGTTTTCTTGTCCTTGTGGAACAGGACTTACCTCCTAAGTTGTCTAAATTAATACTGCATAGTTTGCTTATACCATCTGGTCAGCGCCCAGGTCATTTTGTAGGGAATGATCTTTGGCTGGAACACCAAAATTTTTGGCTCAAACACCATTTCAACCAAACTGTGAGTAAGCGCTTTAAGCCCTTTGTTCCATCAGTTAATTGAGAAGGTGTATATGTTTTTTAGAGTAACGGAACGGATATTGAAAAGCTGATAGCTATTTCAATTAACATTACATTTGTACGTTTGTATGTTCCAAAGTTTTTGGAGGAATATATTGAATCAAAGATAATACTGAAAGAATTTTCTTTATTCCCAGCTACGACAACTGATACAGCAATTAAAAATTCGAAGCGGTCTCAAACCCGTGTTCCAAAACCACTACCATAATCTCTCGGAACAAACTCTCGCAAACTTTATCCGCTCCTGGAACTATCAATATGTTACTTCAAAGAATTCGACCGTCAAAAGTCAGTTTACCGACACAGTTCTAAGCGGAACAATCGTTTTGCAAGATAACATTCTGAAAGACCGGAAGACGAAGGAGGTTTCTCGATATCGATGGGGGTCATTAGGAGATACAGTGGTGGATGCCAAAGGCAATCGTGAAGACACACCTGTTGAAACTCAGGGATAGCTAAACCGCGATCTTGGTTCTTTTAGCTGATTTGCCCTTCTTCCCCACGTATGGTGGTGGTTTGCGCTTGGTTGCCTTAGCACCAGTGACCCCAGACCCCGCAGTCGTCAAAAGGTCCGCCTGCAAATAAGGAGTATGTCAAAAATAAGACTCTAGTCAGTATGACAAAGTTATATATCACCAAATGTAATTGAAACCATACCGCTTTGTCCTTTGTGCTTGCGTCTTTTGCCTTAGTGACATTAGAGGCACCTTTTCGCTCGCTTTTGTCTTTGCGTTGTTATACATTGTCATTTCTTCTTCCGAAGGGTGCAAAACTGCAATTGAATCGGTGCTTGCTTTCCACTTGTGAATTTCGTGAAGTATTGCTACATATGTGTTTGGAAGTGGTTCACTACCAAACACATCATCCAGATCCAGTCCGTCTAAAACAAGATCGTAGTTGAAACATATGCTCCAAAGTTTAATCGGTGAGAACAGGTCATCGAGAGTGTAGAATGAATCTTTAGGATATTCTACATTAAAAATAGTCCTCAGATGTGTTTGAATGCGCAGGAACAATCGAATCCGACGAATGTCTTGACGTAGAGGGTGGTCATTGCTCAGGGGTCTCAATGTCGTAGTAAGGCCAGTATCCTGACGTTCTAGATCCTCCGAGTCCACTTTGAAGTCGGGTTGTCCAGGTGGAACGTCCTGCTTGAGGACCAGCTCGGTGAAATTAGATTGATTCACACTACACAAAATGTAATCTTTACCGGGCGGTAAAGAAAACTAGTGACGTAGAAAAATCCTGAGGCAACAGGAAGAGAGCTAAAAATCTGAAAAAATATGCACCTTGCTCCTAGATGTTGGGGCGTCATGATGAGTATTTTTTTGTATTTTACACACAGATATTGGTTAATGTACTAACAATAAAGGCTGAGAATCATCAAAAACCCACCTGTAACAATACCTGAAATTTGGCCCATGGTTTGAAGACAGGATTTTGAAATCTTCAAACATCAATAACTTTTGCAGTTCTGAATCAAATCACTCAATTTTAAGTTCATCAAAAAGGTGAGTCTTTCCTCTACATTTATCATTCAGACATTAAATCTTTAGCCGGTCTGCAAAAGATCCTACAGAGCGTTTTGTTCCAAACTGTTTGAACATAGGTAGAGAGTTTAAATTACCAGATAACACCCTACTACCTTTATAAAGTGTAAAGAAGAATTGTTAAGCTTTTGAATGAACCAATAATCAAGTTATTTGGAGCAAAATTGCAAAAGTTATTGAAGTTTTTAGACCACAAAATATTTGTCTTCATAATCATGACACAAATTTCAGGTACTGTTACAGGTGGGTTGTTGATGATTTTCAGCCTTTATTGTTAGTACATTAACCAATTTCTGTGTGTAAAATTAAAAAAAATACTCATCATGACGCCCCAACACCTAGGAACAAGGTGCATATTTTTTCAGATTTTTAGCTCTCTCCCTGTTGCCTCAGGAGTTTTCTACGTCAGTAGTTTTCTTTACCGCCCGGTAAAGATTACAATTTTTGTAGTGTCAAGATCTTCTGTTGCGCTAGGAAAAAATTAGCTGCATTTGAATCGCAGTTAGAGCATAGGCACGGTGCCATATTGGCATCCGCCTGCCTTTGAATTTCACTCGTCACGGCTGGGTCATTTGTCGATATCGGTATGTTAGTTACACCTAGGAATCGATTGGAGGAGAAACATTAGGATAGACAACAGCAAATCAAGGTGAAAAGCAAAGCAAACTACTCACCTTAGTAGAACCTCAAAAGCCACCCGTAAACATACCTCAGTGTTACACATTGCGTGCATATGATGATCGTGGTCTTGAAGACTCGGATGAGGCAAAGCCGAAAGTGAATCCTTGTCAGACTGCGACAATTGATTGACTATCAAAAACGCAACAGCTGGTTGACCGTCTCGCCCGCCTCGCCCGGCCATTTGGATCACCTCCAGCGGATCCAGCTGACCCATGATGATTACCCTTCTCACACAAGTCCAGTTTTGGCCTAGACCAAGAGCATTAGTACAGGTCATCACGGAAAAGATCCCCTTCGCAAAATCTTGAGCACGTCGAGTCTTATCAATGGGACAGGTCGAGGCGTGATGATGTCGTACTGAGGTACTCAAGCCGTTGGAAGATTCAGTTTCGTTTTGGCGCGCCGAATTGATTGCTTTAAGGGCTAAGTAGGTGTTGTTTTGTGTATGACAGTACACCAGAGTGGGTACAAGCTCTGAGTCGGTTACCGTCGTTTTAGGTGCAAAGAACTTCTTTAGCAAGTCCATTGAAGAAGCTCCGTGCCTGAGCGTGACCCGGATGAAACGGATCCCAGGTCGTACTAATTCGCTTCGATGAATGTCAATGCTATCTCTAGTGATTTTGAGACTTGCAAGGATTTGGTCGAAGTTGCGAGGAGGGCAAGTTGCTGACATGAGCAGAGTTGGTACTGATTCGGTGGCTAGAAAGCGCTCCACTAGGTTTCCGTATGAAGGCCGAAAAGCCGTTCGATCTTGCTGTATCTGAAATGATCGGTAATTCTTGATTCGGCCCGACAAGGCAAGGCCCCAACAGTAGATGAGGTGAGCCTCATCTACAACCTTGAGAACCAAACGGTTCTGGAAACCCTTGGAAAAATAGAGACGTTCGAATTGAGAGTTATTCAAGAAGATTTCCGGGGACTATTAAGCACATGTCAAGTGTGGTCAGCTCAGCAATGATCCAAAAATGATTGGAATCAAGTTCAGGGCTTACCACATAAATAAATTGATATTTTCCGGCAAGTACCTCTTTGAAAGCTGCTTGCGTGAAGGACGCCCGTGTCAGATTGATAGCAGATAGACCATTTCTAGCCTTTTCTTCAACCTGTCCAAATGCCCGATAAATAGCAAGTTAAGTTGAATATAGAACCGAAGACAGAGAAACATTTGAGACACTTACTTGGTTATCTCCAAGCGCGTCTAATGGATTCAAAGTCAAGATGATAGGTGCACATGCTTTGGTGAACATTAGATAGAATAACTCCGGTATTCGAGACTTGCCATAGCCGGTACACGCAAGGAGAAAGACGTCCCGTTTTCGAACCAGACTCATGGTTGAGTCAACTTGTAAGGCTCGAGCAATCATTTTGAATGTGCTGTAAAATAAATCTCGTATCACTTTTTGTTGTTCTTCATCGTCTTCCTTGAGTAATGACTTTGAGATTGATGGGCGGAACTCTTGAGGGTTAGCTTTGGTGGCCGCTGGCGATGTGACTGGGATTCTGCCAACATCAGGCAAAGGTGGAATAATAGCACTGCGAGAGCGAGTAAGCATGACGTAGTTGTTGGTTGGAGGGCAAGTGAATGCGCATCGATGCTGATGGTGGCGTCTTATCAGTTATGTACGGCAGACGCGTCCCCCCCTAAGGCTTACTGCTTAAGGATTACTGCCATTAGGTCATAAGACTTTCATGGCCTACGACAGTTTCTACCCAGCATAAGGTTATGTCCGGAATCGCACGAGGTCAAATCGATCAAATCAGATTGACCGCCTGTACACCCGTTCTTAGGCTGTTACAGGAAGACGTAAGGAGCATATTTACTCATGCCTCCCAAATATGCAAACCGAGTCTGTTTCTGTTGAAAGTAGTACCAACTTATGTAGACAGATGTAGAGAACAAGATACGAGAAACATGGAACTTTTTGTGGAGAGGTTTTGAGGTGAAGTTGAAAAAAGTACATAATGGTACTTAAATCTTGGAAGTCCTCCGCGAAAAATCGCGAGTCTGCGATAAGCCCCTCTCCGAGGTCGCGGACGTGGCCGCGGGAGAGGGGCTTAGTTAAGCTTAAGTGATGGCCCAAGATGACCCCCACAGAACAATTATAGGAAAGCCGAGTTTACATTGAGTTCAACATTCGAATGCGTCAGCATGCGCACCAGATTTCAACGTCCCGAATTTCGAAGGTCAGTGAGGGTCAGTGTCAATGCGAGTGGCATAAATTCCATCCCCACGTGTTGTACCGGGTGGGTAATCAGTTACCCCTCGGTATGAATTCATCGCCACCACTCAATTTTGAGTTTTTTTCTTATGATTTTTTCTCGGGTGGATTTTTCTCTCATCGTTTTTAAAATTTACATAGCATGTGCCCTGTAGAGTTCAACATTTGAACGAGGAGGTTGATCAGACCATATGGTGGGGAGAACAATCGATACATTGACCTGCGAGCTCCCGAGCGTCCGTGACACCTATAAATATGTAGCCTCTTGGAGTCTGATTGTTGTCCATCTGTCTCCTTACTGTCATCTATATACGCACTTTGCCCTATCTTTATACTTGGCTCCTATATTTTTCAATCTTATAATCACTAAGAATCTCATCACATTCGACTCTGTCTCCAACACCCTTGATTCATCCCAATACCTATTCCATCACGATTTTTGATACTACCCATAATAGAACAATGAATCACCACATACTCGTCCTCCTTGTCTTGCTCCCAGCTCTGGCTTTGACTCAAGCCAAGAAGGACCTTATGGTTTCAATCGTGGATAGGTATAGTTTTTGCCTCATTGTTCCCAAGGACCCTCACACCAACATTGTTAGTGCTTCACATCTCACATCAATATCAGTGTCTTCTCAGCTGACAATCTTGACCTGGGCCTACATATTTAGGGAGATTCAGAATATCCTGGTGGAATGTCACTCTGGTGTGAAGGTATAAATCGCGGACAAGGAAAATTCAATAAGTTTTGGCGCCAAGTTGAAGTTTCAAGACCCAGGGACGGTGTGTTACAGGTAAGTTTTGAAGCTGTCGATAACGAGCTCTCAGATCAGATTCACTCAACCCAAGTTATGTCGCTCTTTTTCAAACTTCAGATGACTGGTTGCTTCAATCTCTGGAGCTCAGATAGGTAAGCATCAATGTTTCAGAGTGTTCAGAGACTCTAATTGTTGTGCGGAAGATTGTATACTGAATTCCATAATCTTTTCAAAGGTTCAATTCCGGTGATGGTGGCGGACAATACGACTCTGACGGTGGTGACGGCGGAAACGGAAACCCAGCTGGAAGTGTGTGTAAACAGTGAGCTTATTTCCAGAATATTCTTTATTGCATTCCTAGAGCTTACTTACATGGGAAACAACGATAGATACCAACACTATGTGCAACTTATCGAGCCAAATTCTCAAAGGGCTTGTCTCCGGTGCTGCAGGGACAAGTGAGTCTTTTGCAACTACCTCCACCTTCTCAATGAGATCATAATTAACCACTCCTTTCTTTTCAGGAATGATTGCAATGTCTCACGAGACACCTCTGGGTGTCCAAGTGTGATACCTGGTCAGTTAATCTCTCATCAAGCCCTGAAGGTCACTGGATGAAAGATTAAGCAATTACTGATAATCTTTTGTGTCCATCACTCAGGTAACTATTTTACGTGCAACTAAATGGACATTCGGCTATCGTTTTCTCGGTCTTGCTTTTCTTCCTCTATCTGTATTTTTATAATCTTATGATGGACAATTTTCTTCGATACGTGACATTATTTTTGTGTTTCGAATGATTTGGGTTTTCCCCTGCATTTGTGTTGAGGATGCATGCGGTCACCAGACTCTGCTTTGTTAGTTGATGTTTAATGATTTATCTCGTCCGAAGAATTGATATTGACCGCAAGCATTCGTGAGCTTACCGTGTTCTCGGGTGTCTTTGCGTAATACGACAATAAGTTTGAAAATTTCGAAGTCTGGTCCACTGGGTCCAAAATATTCTCACATGATTTGAATATCAAAGGAGATAAAGTTTCAGGTCTTTTTGATATTTACCAAGGGCGCTAGGGTGGTATGAAGAATTTTCTTCTGTTCAAACCACATTGATTCTCATTAGGACGCATAGTACAAAACCTGACAGATGATTTTGAAACAAGCATTCGAGAAGTGTCCATTCTTTTGGATTTGAATGTAAGATTAGAGACTTATTTCCTTTTATAAGCTACCCACATATTTGCTTCGTAAACTGCGAAGAGTCAGAGAGTCATATAGAACGAGATTTCAGTTTGTGAGAGTGCTTGGAAATAATAATAGAAATGATAGTGTACCTGGTTTCAGGTTGCTGAAAGGATTGCCGGAATATGTTGTCTGTATTGTGCGATCCTAGCATATTCCGACATAGGAGAACAACTATCAGCGTTCCGAGAATGTAGCACAAGTTGGAAGGTTAGAGGATTCTTACATAGTTGGGATCTAATTCAAACCCCATTTGTTGACAAAGCGCTTTGATTTCATTTACGTCCAATTCGATTGACGTGTCCATCGGATTGGATGATCCTTCGTAGTGCCATAGTGTAGGTCCAAGGTTTACCCACATCCCTCCAGGTTTCAAAAGATGATGAATCGTTCTTAAATATTCGACAATGTTTTTAGCAGTATCAATGAAAAAACAAGTGAGGATAACATCCCAGTTGTCTGTTGATCAAGAAGAGAATAACACTATGAATAAGTAAACTAAAACTAATGATGATTCTTTCCTGGAATGTTGAGACCTTTTTCTTCGGGCTTTGTAAAGATTTCAGTGAAATCTCCCATAGAAATTCCAAAGTCTTCAGCATTGAATTCATTTGAAGACAATCGGTCTGGGAATTTGACTTCTGATAGCAGGTCCTCCTGACAGGTTTGATTTGAAAGCGAGTGAACAAAAGGATAAATTGACCATTGATCGAGACAAATAGCGCTTTAGAAGGTTTGAGCGGTATAAGATTGAAGTATTAGCAAAAACCATCAATTGTCATGGACTGGAAACGTATAGCACATCGTTTGCATGAAATTCAAGAGCAAAAGAATCAACGAAACTTTTCAACTCAACTTGTTGAGGACCAAATTTGAAGCCATGATCATATGATAAGATGATTCATTGCCTTGCGATACATATCCTGATATGGTGAATGGTAGGATACTCAGGATTAGCTGTCAATGTCTTGCGCGATAGTCCCATATGGATTTGGTTCATCATCATCAAAGATGTCAGAAAACGTGCCTCGATCAGCTACCTCCCAAGCAAGTCGACCCAGTCCACACCCTGGCACGAGGACGCGAATCTGTCTCCGATCTATAATCTTGGGCAATAACTGTTCCGTATAGCTATCTAGGGCCACGAGCATTGGTTCATAACAAGCTTCGCGCTCTGATGCCCCCTGTAAAAATTATCTCAGCAAATGCAGGCCGATATCGATTTCGAGAGGTGTGAATCCTAACGAGGCAGGAAGGCAGACATGGCGGATAGAAGGGTAGAGAAATTGACGCGCCTGGAGCTCACCAAAACACTCCAATCACGTACAAATTGCCGCAGAGTGCTTTTGACCTTGTCCGCTTCAAAAGATGTGACTTTTTCCGCTTGACTATCTAGTAAAGATCGTTCACGGTCACCACATGTCAGGGACGAGCGAGAGACTAGCTACCTATGAAGCGGATTGCAAAGTTTCTCATGAAGATCTAACCTAACTCGAGCTTTTGATTCTCAGGGCTCAAAGATGAAGAAGCAATGTGATTGGATGGGCCAATACCAGCTTCCTCGGCCTTGAAGACAATCTCATCTAACACATCCGCATTACGTCTGATCCGATCGTCGACTTCGTTCAATTTTTTGATGTAATTCGGAAGCAAACGTTGATCAGGTAGGGGAATTCGATAAAAGTCTTTTTTTCGTCGAGTATTTGCCGTTAATGACCATCTAGATTGGATGAATGCTTTGTGGTTGGTCAGTTGTTGAAGTGATTGTGGCACTCTGTGCCGAATGCAAACCAGAGTTTTTTGGAAGCTGAACGCGGTCGGAAAGCGCGATGACAGCAGCGTCGCGCACAGGATCAGTTTTGGATTCTACGACGAGTGTCCACTTTTTGGCCAACTTGCACGGGATATGACCCAATGTGAACCCATAGCTTGATCATCAATTTGAGAAATGTCCTTTGAAGCTTGACTACCGGGGGCAGGTAGGTGATCTTTGCGGTCTGACGATTCACCTTCGGTACTCATCAAATGATTTGACTATCTTACGATAGTATGAGCATTCAGAATTCAAGTTGGAACTAGAAGCTCCGCCAGGCGTGATATCCATAGGTCTGTCTTCGAGCATTTCTTCCGTATCGTTCGTCCCGGGAACAGCTGATCGTCGTTAAGGAACATCGAACCCAAGTGAACAAAGCTCGTCCAGTCGAGCAAAGATCACTGTCTTCCAAGTTCCAACCCACATACCTTGCATTTTCGATAGAGAATGTAGTCGAATGAGGTACTTCGGTTTCCGACGAACTTGATGCCCATCTCGAGAAGAGTGACATCTGTGTTCATCGATACATATGTGAAGTTTATAGGTTCACGCATTCGGGTAGGGCTATGACCCGGCAACGAGGCTGCAGGGCCGGGCCCAGGGCCGGCCTCGGCCCTGGGAGTCTCCAGAGAGCTGCCGGGCATCATAGGGCTGGCCCTGGGTCGGGCCAGCCTTATTTGGGAGCTACTTTGAGAGCTTGAAGGTCCGCTTGACTATTACTCAAGCAAAGAACCACCTAACAGGCTAACACAAAAAACAAACTAAAGAAAAAGAAAAAACAACGAGTGTAAAGAAAAAAAACATCACAAACAGGGAAACATAAGAAACAAGTTGACAACTGAGAATGAACGAGTGTATGGAAAGAAAACATTTTTATAATTGGAATAGAAACATTGTAATAGATTTCATTGTAATAGATTTACTTGGATGACAAAACAATCTCCCATGACTTAAGACAGATTTGTGCTTCAAAGTTTTGATTTGTCATAGACGCTCGATAATCCGACATAACTCGTGAACCAGCAGAAAAGATCCGTTCAGAAGGCGCACCTGAAGCAGGAATGGCCAGCATATACATAGCCATACGAGCTAGAACTGGCCAGTTAGATTGGTTGGTTTTCCAAAAGACTAAGATATCGGTTCGCTCATCCACAAGTGGGGCAAGAAGGTACTCCTTCACTTCGTCTTCAAGTTGAATGAACTTGCGTCGTTTGATAAAGTGATGTGGTCGGTCATCATCGTCATCGCGGACAGGTTCCGATTGAACAATCTCGATATCAGGATCTTGAGGAAGTTTGAATTTACGTGCTTGCTCGGTAAAGTAATCGATAAGTTGGTCTTTGTCAAAAGCAAGTTCTTCTAAAGTAAATGCAGTAACAGCATTGAGCTTTTGGCGAGGGTCGAGAATCGGGGCACATATATAAACAGGCTTCTTCAAAGCCAACGTGGAGTATCGGACCAATTTCTTGACCATAGGAAGGATGGCTGCCTTCAAGTTGGTACACTCAGACGTGCCCCATGCCTATGTTTGGTAAAAAGATATTGTATAAATATAAAGTGATTAATTATGAAAAGAACAGGAAAACTTACTTTTTCAAGCTTTTCAACAAGCCATTGATAGTCAGGCATTGCTCGTGAGAAAGTGGGATAGTCATCGCCTTTGATTTCCTTGATCATGATTGCAAGAGGTCGGAGAAACTTGACTAAGCTGCCCACCAACATCCATTCGTCTTCGGTCAGGAGGTAAGGCTCCAAAGATTCATTTATGTTACAATAGTACTGAAGGACCTTCTTGAGTTCAAAGAAACGCTTGAGAGAGTAGAAGGTAGACGACCATCGAGTGGAAACCTCGTGGATGAGTCCGACTTTTCGAGGCTGTGATGAAGTCGCAATACATTGGTCAAGAGCCTGTTTGAGCTGAGTGCTCAATCGGACTCGTTTGTGAAACCCGCGAATTCGAGTTAGGATTGAGTGGACTTCAAGATGCGGGGTAGGTTTGATTAGAGAAAGGGTACCATCAGGAATTTTGTTTTCTTGAGGAAGTTGAGGATCTAATGCACTAAGAGGATCGGGGGGGGCCTTGCTGTCAAAGATGGAGATACCGGCTTTGGCGACTAGATTGATAACGTGGGCGACACAGCCGTGAAGATTCTTTTCATGATTGAAGTGAGGTATGAGAATGTGAAGCTCTCGGGCCATGGTGATATTATTTGAAGCGTTGTCAGCAGTAATACAGTAGAGCTTATTGGTGATATTAAACTGATCTAAGGTGTGCTTGACCAAGGAAGCAATGTTTTTACCAGTATGAGAACCATCGATTTCCTTCAAACCTAGAACAACTGATTTCATAACAAAGTCATCGCTCATCCAGTGCGCCGTGATTCCTAACATTGGTACACTTCGAGGTGAGGTCCACGCATCACAAGTGATGCTGATAAAATTGACCGAAGAGAAAAGATGACTCAAACAAATTCGAGCAAGACGGAATTGGGCAATGATGCCATTGGTAATGGCAGTTTGCTTTGACAGGATTGGCAAAACAGCAGGGTTAATCCAGGATACAAGCTCGCGGAACTCCGGCGCATCCACAAGCGATACTGCGAGCTCTCGATTGACGATAAGACGGATGATAGCGTTGGTGAGGTTTTTCCTGTTGAGAGGTCCAAACTAAAAAAAAACGAGATCAGTCAAAGATACAAAGAGGAAACATCAAAAGAAAAGAAGTGAAAACTTACATTGGAATTCTTACCAGTAGCAGGGAAGGATGTAAGTGTTTGTTGTGAGGTGTCGATCGGAGGTTCAATACGATGAGCACGGGAGAGGTGGCGGGCCATTGATCTGGTACTGGAGCTTTTATCGATAGCGATCTACTCATTACACACAACCACAGGCGCCTCTTCTAAGTCCGGACTCGGAGGCTTGTCGATGAAGCCTTTGTTGGCACGGCAGACGTTCTTGACGGTTTTGTCGGGGAGCGTGACAGTCGAAAAGTACTGCCACACCCAAGAAGTACGGTTTGTGGCAGTATCTTCGGATTCGGCTGCACTAGCAGCAGCTGAGACCGAGTCAGATGGCGTGATCGAAGTTGTGCTGGAGGTGGTGGACATGGTGTTTAAATTGGTGACTTGAAGACTTTGGCGAGACATGGTGATCGAAGAAGATGGGTATGGGGCCTGGGGTATGGTATACTGTATGGGTAAAGGGTACTGGAGTGGGGTTAAGGTGGAAAGAGGTTGGAACTCGCCTTTCACCCTTTGTTTAACGGGATTTTAAGCGCCGGCCCCGGCCCTGAGTGGCCCTGACACAGGGCCTTTGTCTGTATCATTAGGTTAGGGCTACATGCTCGGGCCTGGCAACAAGTTGGTTCTGGAAACCCTCGGGCAGACTCGGCCGGGCAGGGCCAAGGTCGGGTCATAGCCCTAATTCGGAGCGTGTTGCGGCTGACAGTCGACACCCCATCTCCTTAACCTAATCGCCCAAGTATTTACACTGCAATACTCTTGCGCGCAATTCGACAGAGCACGTCAAGTCACCTTCAAGATCAGTCTCAAGATCAGCTTTGAGGACACCATCAATTGGCCTGGTGTGCGTATTGCCAAGGAAAAGAAGGCCACATCCACTGTGTTCAACTTCAAAGACCTGCTTGACAGGTTGGGCTGTTCATGACAATGTGCTCATTAGCAAAAGCTTGAACATCATGCTCTGCTGTGGAGATGCGGTTGGAGATATCAAAAATAGTATGAAAGAAGTGGTATTGACCAGCGACCTGGCTAAGGACTTGATATGAAAGTTGCGTGTTGGGGAGATAAATATTGGTCTCACCTTGCTTTTGGACATAGGAAGTTGACCTCTTGTTTGGTCACTCAAAGATCACGTACAGGCAATCTAGTTATCAAAGCCCACAAAAACAAGTTTTTGGATAGAAGGAGGCACAAATTTGTGAACAGGACCAACCCATGACCTGTCTCTTTTCAGTTGATCTCCAAAAAGTAGGTGAAGAATATTTTACTTTGCAAGAGACACCTTCCATATCAAGTCCTCCACCAGTGGTTGGTCAAGACCATTTCTGTCATGCATGTTTTGATATTTCAAATCACCTCTTCACGCCAGAGCTTGATTTTTTCAAGGTATTGCCAATGACGCGCATCTTGATGACACATTCCAACCTAATACACAGGCGTTTGGCGTTGACTACACTGATCTTATTGGATAGAGCCTTCGTTGCACTGTCTATACAAACAATTGACTAGCCAATGTTTTCCTTGAAGCCACTCTTGAACCAGGTCTTGATGGTCATTGTATCCTCTTTGTCAGATCACAAATGAGGAGTGTCCAGATTCTCGAGCAAATTCCCGCTGGACTGATGAGCTGGCGTTGCGGGTCCACTTGTAGCTTTGGTAGTTTTCTTGAAATACTCAAGATCAATGACCTTGAACAGGAATCAAAACACTGAATTTCATACATCTATCCGTCCGTCCATATTATTGGCTTTGGACAACATGATTTGTGCAGATAAAGATATGTGATCGGTGATTCAAAAAGAGAGTTCGGGTCAAAATCAAAAGACGATATTGATTGAGAGCAACTGTGATTCGAAATACTCTGAATGAAACGAGTCCAATTTGAGACAGATACAGGTGACAGAAAACAACCATCAATTTCAAGGGGACTGGCCGGGTGTAAATCAGACATGCAAGGCCGGTCTCGCAGGGGTCAGGGTCCCTTTCTGGATACGAGTTGTTGCGGGATCTTGACTTGAGAATGCGCTGGCTTGATATAGGAAGCCATGGGGATTTGAAGATGGATTGAAAATCCCTGCCTACGATTGGGCCATCTTAATCGTCTCGGCGAACACCTTGAGCTAGGTTTTTGAACTATTTCGCTGGCTGCCGCGGCGCGTTTTTTCTCTGAGAAAATCGCATCTTTTGTCGGAGCAGCTTTTGGGTACTTTGCTGTGATGATCCTATGAAGTGAGATAGTGGCAAGCTTCCAGCTCCGATGTGTAGCACCATGGGGTGACCATGACTTGCAACTTCAAGCAATAAATCGAAGTTGAGCCCCGTACGCTTCGGGAAGTGCGGATTACAATATGGGCACAACAAGCCCCAATTTTCAATTGATCCTTTTCCGTGACTGGAAATTTTTCACTGCGACCTGTTTGACTTGTGCTCTACAATAAGCTAATCTCTTGTTCATTTGTCTGAATCGTCGGATTTTGGTCGGCTATTTACAACTCAGATAAGATGGTCAAAGTCAAACATCACGCCTTTTACTCCGCACTCTTAAAGGGGTTGCCACTTCGTAAAGGTGAATTTTAATTTTGATCGCGCTGCTTCGAATCAATTTTTGAAAACCTGATAGCTCAAGAAATTGAACAACACATATTTGTACATGAGCAGTCAACCCATTCATTGCAAAATTGGAATGGAACAAGTCCCTATGAGGAGATTCAATCTGGCTATTCATGAGGCGGGGAATATCGACACAGACAATGATACTGTTCCACCTTATGACGAGGGAAACGGTCTTCCACCTTATGACGGAGGATTCCAGGCTTGGCGGTTCTTGTTAATTGCTTTCATGGTCGAAGGTGCCGTATTCGGTAATAAAGATCTCATAATCCTTCTATCCAAAAGAAAACACAAATAACCCGATGCGATTTCAAAAGGTCCGCCGATTTCTTTTGGGGTATTTTTGGACTATTCACCTTATTCGGACATGAACAAATCTCTGGCTGCCTTCATAGGTTAGTGAGCAAAGATCAATAAAAATACTCATCTCATTTCCCTGAGCTGAAGATCAATGACTGACTCCACAATCATTGAACAAACAGGGACTTTGTGTAGCGGTATCCTTTATTGCTTTGGAGCAGTCTTGACCCCGCTAATGGACAAGTACCCGTGGATCATCAAATGGGGGCCGACGCTGGGCACCATAACTTGTTCAGCTTCTTGTTTGATCGCAGGATACTCCAGCAAGGTGGGAAACATCATTTCATCTCATAATCCTCGGAGGATGTGTGGCTCAACTTTGTCACATACCAAATGTTTCCACATTCAAAAGCCTTGGCAACTCGTATTATCACAAGGCTTTTTATACGGTTTTGGGGGAGGTGATTTTATATCTATCATAACTGACAATGCAATTCGAAATAGAAAACTTACACAGCCTTGTTTTTTGTGGTCGGATGATCACGTGCCGATTGTAGCATTACTCTAGTAAGCATAGAGGTACTGATCTAAACCAAGTCAGCCCTATCTATGACTCAGTTCTTTGGTTAGCTATCCAGCTTTTGTCTTTTTGGCGGAATGGTGGGTCGACCGACGGGGACTAGCTGGAGGCATAATGTTTTCAGGTTGATTGATAAGATTGAATCTCTATTTCAAAGTGAAGATATGATATTGGTATCGATGAGTTATTCATACTGACCTATTCTGTATAGGAGCTTCGGTATTTGGCCTTTTATACCCACCAGTCCTAGAATGGTCTTTGAAGAACTACGGAACTGCTATCACATATCGAGCATTTGCAGTATTTTGGTTGATCATAGTTTTACCAATGATGCCATTCTTTCAGTGAGATAAAGATCCTTACATTTTTGCCGAATCTTTTTCTGAACCGCCACGTCTTTGCTTAACCAGTGGTAGATTACCTATGGCTCACAGAAGGAATCCTCAAAAGTCATCTATGACTCGCTATCTCAAAACCCCACTGTTTTGGGCATTCATGTTAGTGACGCTTATTCAAAGCCTGTGAGTACGTTTTCGGCCATGATGTATTCAGGTATGGTTGGGTTCACGAGGCTGATGGATTCTTTGCTTTTGATGTCTCTGTAGGGCGTTTTTTGTGCCATCATTATATATGCCGGCCTATGCAACTATAAAGGGTCTTCCAGGAGGACTTATTTTAGCTCTATACTCAGGTGCATGTATATTCGGGCAGCTGCTAGTTGGCACTGTCAGTGACCACTTCGACAGCAGCTGGTTAATTGGTATCACCTCGATATGCAGCGGTATAAGTATACTTGGGTTGTGGGGCCACTGTAACGGTTTTGCAATGCTTGCCAGCTTTGCTCTCATTTGTGAGCTTATATCTCTGATGGGTTTATTTCAAATTATTCACAAATTCAAGCTCTGATGTTGTTTTTGAACAAGTAGATGGCCTCAGTGCTGGTGGATTCTCGTGTCTTTGGCAGCGTTTTGCGATGCGTGTAGCTCCCTCAGAACAAAAGTCTAGTAACCTGATTTCCTTTTTTGCAATTTCCCGCGGGATTGCAAATGTCTTGACTGGGCCAATCGCAGGTGCCTTGGTTCAAAACAGCTCATCGGCCGTGGAAGGTTATCAAACATTGGTCAATTATAGTGGGACTTTGATGTTGTTATCCTCGATTGGAGTCGGAATCCGATTATTATACACCACCAAGAACGTATCTTAGTCAATCAGCGGTCACTGCCTTTTAGATGGGGCAAAACACTGTGACCATCTGTATGCCATTCGAGTCATTGCTTAGGGGAAGAACTTGTATAGAGAAAGAATTTTCAAAGCTTTTGGGATCAAAAGGCCACAGATTTTTTCATCGACAATAAAAATATACTTTTTGAATTCACATACTCAGAATCTGCTGATGTTCAAAGGGGTCGTGTATAGAAAACGTATATTATTTTGTCTATAGAGAAATATTGTCTTGATACTGAGAATGAATGCCTTTCTAGGCTTGTCAAAATTTTCCAAGAGGAACCGACCTACCACAGGATCTGATAAGCTGGGCGTTATCGATGTCTCTAAACACACCAAAAGACAACCCAATTCCAATAGTTAATTGATACCATGTTATGCTGAATACAGAAAGAACTGATCTTATCATTTGAGATGAATCGCCTGAGTGAGGATTGGGATGATGAGAAAACTTTCAACAAATTTGTTCAAGTTCCTTGCATAAAATCGCGCTTCTGATCACTAATTTTTGTACTACAGACTAGGTAGACAAAACAAAGACCGGTTATTGGCACACTGCGGAGTGCCATTATTTCAAACTACCGCCCACGAAGAAGCGTAGACTTAAATTTTTACTCATTGAAGTGCGATTGGATTTTACATTCGAGCCATCTTAAACTGCCGATTGAGTGTAAAATATTATGTAACTCATGATGGTCTTGTCCTGTCTTGGCCTCAAGGCTTGAATCGCTATATACAGGGATTGCTGTGATGGATCATCTACATATCCTACTTGAGCCCCGCACGCTTCACTGAGCTCGATGAAGTGGGCGCACCCAGGCCGATTGAGTAACTAGCAAATGGTCTCCTGTCCATGGTATTTTTAGGGTCTCGATTTCATTCGATGCCTCAAAGTCATTCGCCAAGCTCTCCACAGCCCCCTTTAAGCGGACAATGTTCTCCGTTTGCATGGCCGGTCTTAATCCAAAAGGTTTCATACCAAGTTTTCAATTGGTTCTACTCCGTGACTGGAAAGGTGTTTCCTGCGACCTGTTTTACTTCTGCCTTATGATAGTTCATCTCGTTTTCATGTGTTTGACTCACCAGATTCTGGTTGATTATCTATTTAGATAAGAAGATGGTCAGAGTAAAGAATGTTATCGTTTACTCCGTATTCTCAAAGGGTTTTCCAGCTCTCAATCGCGAATCTTCATCTTAATCGCGGTCCTTCGAGCAATTTGTCACATTCCTAGAAAGCTCAAAGAATTATACAAAACATATTCCTTGAGCATTTCACCCCCCATTGCAAGATCGAAATGGATCAAGTCAGTATGAAGAGATTCAATAAGACTGTTGATGAGTTGGGTAATATCAGCACTGAAAATGGTACCTGTCCACCGTATGAAGAAAGAGAAGAAGGAAACACCCTTCCATCACATGATGGTGGATTTCAGGCTTGGAGGTTTTTATTCATTGCATTTATGATCGAAGGTGCCGTATTTGGTATATAATGATTTCTTTTAAAATGCCTCTATAGAAAGAAGGACAAAATAAACGTCTCTGAGTGCTCTCAAATTTTAATTTGATTTGAAAGGTCCACCAATCTCTTTTGGTGTGTTTCTGGACTACCCTCCTTATTCGGACATGAACAAGTCGTTAGCGGCCTTCATAGGTATGTCTTCAAGATTGATAGTATAACTCATTTTATCTCCCCTGAGCTTCACTCATTTCCTGATCTATTGGATAAATGACTGAATTCGGCGGTATCGGACGTACAGGGACTTTGTGTAGTGGTATCCTTTATTGCTTTGGAGCAGTCCTAACCCCATTAATGGACAAGCACCCATGGATCACCAAATGGGGACCGACACTAGGTACCATAATTTGTTCAGCGTCTTGTTTGGCTGCAGGATACTCAAGCAAGGTAGGAAAACTACATGATCTGATAATCCGGTAAACACCCTTGGCTGACAGCATGATATGCCGAATGTTTACGTATTTAATAGCCTTGGCAACTTATATTGTCACAAGGCTTGATGTACGGATTTGGGGGCTGTGAGTCTATAACAACTCTTCATACCTGGTCGTCAGTCAGTGTACTTCAAAACAAAAGCTGAAACAATCATCTATTATTCTGGTTGTTTTGATTGCATTCAATTTCTAGCATTACTCTAGTAAGTAGCAACATGCTATTCTAAACCTAGCAGACTTTGTTAATGAATATATTTTTCTGTTAGCTATCCAGGTTTTGCCTTTTTGGCGGAATGGTGGGTCGAAAGACGAGGTTTCGCTGGAAGTGTCATGTTCTCGGGCAAGGATCCCAACTCATTTCAAGAGTGAAAACATGATGCTGACATCAAAAACTTTACTAATCAAATTTGCACAGGAGCTTCTGCATTTGGTCTCGTATACCCACCAGTATTGGAATGGTCTTTGAAGAAATACGGAAGTGCTATCACATATAGAGCATTCGCAGTATTTTGGCTTGTTGTAATTTTACCAATGATCCCATTCTTTCAGTAAGATAAAAGTCCTTACAATTTTTGTGGTGGTTGTTGACCCCTTCTGTTTTGCTACATTTTGCCTTAATCAGTGGTAGACTACCAATGGCTCACAGGAGAAATCCTCAAAACCTATTTATGTCTCGTTATCTCAAAAGACCACTTTTTTGGGCTTTCATGTTGGTGACCCTTATTCAAAGCCTGTGAGTATCTTCATTCTCTTTAGTATTGAGGTCCAATTCTTTTACATAGATTGAGAAGAAAACTTGAAATTTCATATTTATAGGGCTTTCTTTGTACCATCATTATATATGCCAGCCTACGCAACTATCAAAGGACTTCCAGGAGGAATGGTTTTAGCTCTATACTCAGGTGCAAGTATATTTGGGCAGTTACTAGTTGGCACTATCAGTGACCACTTCGACAGCAGCTGGTTAATTGGTATCACCTCGATGTGTAGTGGTATCAGTATACTGGGTTTATGGGGCCACTGTAACGGTTTTCCAATGCTTGCCAGCTTTGCCGTCATCTGTGCGTGTGTTTCTTTTCCATTCATTTCACAGGATTCATAGAGCTTAAACTCAAAGTTCCCTCTCTTCGGGGTTGAAAAAATCAGATGGTCTAAGTGCTGGAGGATTCTCGTGTCTTTGGCAGCGTTTTGCAATGCTTGTAGCTCCCTCAGAACCAAAGGCTGGTAACCTAATTTCATTCTTTGCAACTTCACGTGGGATCGCGAACGTCTTAACCGGACCGATTGCGGGAGCCTTGGTACAAAACAGTTCATCAGCGGTACAAGGTTATCAAACCTTGGTATATTATAGTGGAACGCTGATGTTAATATCTTCTATTGGAGTTGGTATCAGAGTATTATACACCACCAAGGAAAATTTGTAGTCCTTCAGTTTTTTACAATGTTTTTTTGGATGGAAGAATTCACCTGGACCATCTGTTTTGTATTTTGGGTTATTGCTTATTGAAAGACTTTGTATATATAAAAAGTATATTTCAATCAAGTTGGAATGGGAAGATTTATTCACACAATAAACTGGTCCTGGCAGGAATGCAGAAGTGAGTCTACTCAGACTCACTCACTCGGGCGCCCGCGCTTGGTACTCAAGTTGAGTACCGAAGTACAGATTTACACATAGAGTACAGATACTCCCACGGTAATTTTCGGCAGAGTACGCAAGGAGGATGGGACTCATTATGGCCCGGTCGAAGAGTACTAACAAAGTGAGTTTACTCACCAAATGAGTAGACTCACTCGGATGTGTACTCACCGCGAGTACACTGCGAGTACTCACATTTAAAAAAATTGCCAGTCCTCATTATAAATGTGGACTGTCAAGATAACTTTTGATCATTCATTGGCTCCACAGTTCAACCACCCTATGAGAGTCAAGAGCTTACAAGACTGGCGGTATTTGATAAGGTAAATAAAGAAATCATGAAATACAATTCGGAACAAATTGGTTCTTATGATGATCGGGGATATTTCATGAAAGAGTTGAAGACAATTTCACCGATTTAAACAAAGCCAAAAGTGACACCCTTCTTTCAACCCATGGCATCAACTTCAACTGTAGCCTGGTCATTGCCGAGCCAATGACGGAGAAGGACAAGGTGACAGATGGTATCGGTGTAAAGTCGGCCTCGCGATGGCACGGCAATGTTTCCTGAGATTGAGAAAACCCGTTCAACCGAGGCCGCTGCTGCGGCTATGGTGAGATGTTGGAGGGCAATCCGGGCTAACACCGGCAGGGCGCCGGTGGTTGACATACGCTACACAGAGTGAACAAAATCATGTCAGTTGTTGATTTGATGCCAAAAATAAATCAAAATCGAGCTCCTAACACTTACAGTCCAAAATTGGCCAATCGTTTCGCCAGGCAGGACTGGATCTTCCCGAAGGAAGTATCGGTCAAGTTCGTCGAGTGACCGAGTGGCGTTGGTGGACGACGGAATGGCAGTGGTGCCCAAAATCGAGTAGATCTCGTCCAAGTTGTCGAGTTCAGGGTCATGTTCAGCAGGAGGGGTCGATTGTTGAGAAGAGCTAGGTGTTTCTTTGGGTTTCCAAAGGTTATACTCATCACGCAGCTGTTTCTTGGCTGAGGTGGCCACCCCGTCACGATCAATGTGGCCTTCAAAAATCTTGTCCCTAAAACGTGGATCAAGCAGAGTAGACACCAAAGTTTGGGCATTGCCCTCTTCACGAGCCAAATACTTGATGAGCTTCAACTCAGCGCGACGGCAAGCCATCCCCCAATTGCCAAGCACTTGCATATGCTTACGCAACACCTTTTGAATTGCCCAGAGCACCGGTAGGACCTTGTGTTTTGTGGGATCGTTGGATTGAAAGATTTGTGTCGCACGTTCAAACATCTCAAGCACTGGAAGCAAGTATTCAATAGTTGACCAATCGGTTTTCGAGATGGCCAATTTTTTTCGTTTTGGGTCATTGGTGTAGAGAGTCAGCAATTTTTTGAGAAGCAAAGACCGTTGTACCTGTTAAGACACGCATTGGTGTTAGCGCATGAGTATGAAGAGATTTCGATCGATGAAGCCAATGTAAAAACACTCACTACATAATAGAAGTAGTTCCACCGGGTGGGAGGGCAGCTCATAGGGAGAAGTTCCGGGTCATTTACGCTTTCTCGGATCTTGATGAAGGCCTCGAGTTCTTGAGGACTCTTGCGGATGTGAGTATCCAAAGCTCTAATCCGGCTTACGACAGTCGACTTCTTACGGGTGGAAGGTTCCACGGTGGGTGATTCCTCAGGCTGGGTTTGAGTTGCTTCGGTTTCGACTGACTCTTGCGCTGCCTCCATGTCATAGGTTGCTTGGACAATGTCGAAATCGTTTTGGGTTGGGTCGAGTTCTTCTGACTGAGAGTCGAGGTCCATCAGGATAGGTTCTTCCGGTTCGAAAGCTTGTCGGGGTTCGGCCATTCCAGAGTCCTCGTAAGCAGCGATATTGGCATCAGTCAACTCGCCCATCCCATCGAGGAAATCTTTGGCGACTAGGTTGATTACATGGCACATGCACCCATGAAACCGGGATGCAAAAGGCCAGCTAGTCCCCAACTCGGCGTATCAATCGCTCAAGTAACGCACCATGGAGCGGTTGGAGGAAGCGTTGTCACCGGTAACTGAGTAATGTTTCTGAACCGCTCCCACGTGTTCAAGAGCATTCCAATAGACTTGAGCCAAATTTTCGCCGGTATGTTTGCCTTGCAGGGTCTGAAACAAAAGGAAAAGCAAGCAAAACACAGTTGAGTAAGATCAAGAGGTGAAATCGGGAAAAACCATAAACGCAAGAGACATAAAGACAGTTACTGACCTTGAATGCAAGTAGCCGTCGGCAAAACTTGCCCTGAGAGTTAAAGAAGAATCCGTTAATTGCCATGTATGTGTGAGAAAAATCCGCGCTCGTCCAGCAGTCGGTGGCCGTGGAAATAGATCCAGGCACATGAGAGATCTCTTCGATAAGTTGTTTTTCCAGTTCGTAGAATAAGGCTTCCAAATCTGCCTTGAGAGTCATTCGACCAGGCCATGGGAAGGACGGGCAGATCACCCGTAAAGCTTTCTCCATCAAAACACCCTCAAAGACCGAGAAAGGAAGGTTTTTGGATATTACCGCGCCAATAAGAATTGTAAAATAAAATTTAAACATCATTAGTCAGTGACAAATCCGGGTGATCAGATGGGACAAGGTGGTTGAATACTTACGGGCAGTGAAGACAGTAGTAGACCTTGGCTTCATCACCTTTGCCACTTCCATTGGCGGGTCCAGGAGCCGCCTCCGGTTCCTATAATTGGGTTATATGTCAATGTCAATGCTAAACATTGATAAACAAGGATTTCGGACTCAAAAATAGAAGGACTTGCATCATAATACAAGTAGACATCGGACCGGTGGGGATTCGACCTCACAGGGGAGTCATCAACATAGACCTTTTGGTCGGTGGCCTCGCGCGTCACGAGATGTCCAGGTCCATACTGATGGGCTTGCCCATGGTTTGTAGCCAAAATGACGCCTGAGGCTCCACCCACAGCTCGAGAGGTGGTGGACGCTCGAGGTGCCAAAGTGCCATTCGAAGTTTCACGGGACAAAGTCGTAAGACGAGCACTAGAGGTATTGCGAGGAGTTGGAGCTGCTGCGGTTCCCACACGGGCGTAGGGAGATCGCACTGCTGGAGGAGTTTGGGGTGTAATTCTAGGTCTAGGCATGGTGTGTTTGAGAAAGTGTGACGGGCTAGTTTTGAAAGAAAGGGAAGATAGAAAGGTAACAGGGATAGATATAAATCTAGGTCAGAAGTCAGAGATCGATGGATAGAAAGACTTGAGGGGGAGATGGAAAAGGAAGACAACATATATAATATAGAAATGTTGCTGCTCACCAAAGGTCCAATTCCCATTCAAGATCTCCAATATTCATTATATCGGAGTTGACCCACGAAAGCGCTGGTAGCCATAACTCAATGTGGCGAAATGCCAATTGCTGAGCCATTGGCTAATACCTCAATCGTAGGATTGTTTGGCGATTAATTGGCCAGCCACCGTTAGATCGAGCGTGGTCCACAGTTGAAATTGATTGATGGATTGGGTGTGAGGAGAGGATTGGGTGTCGAATGGCTGAATGAAAGCTGAAAGGGAAAGATATAGTGCTTGAAGGTGGTCATCAATCGTAAGCCAACGATATCTTAGGGCGCCGAAGGATATCCTACCGTAGTTGACTTGTCGTGACCTTGTTTGGATGAGTATATAAGTGAGTATACTCATCCAAATATTGTGGGCGCTGAAAGAGGGCTAGTGAGTCAAGGGCGCGGGGACAGGGCACATTTGAGTATTGTGTAATCATGTTACACTTACATGTGAGTATTCTGATACTGAGACAACTCAGTTGGTGCCCATCGAGAGCACCAACTTACTCACCCACGGGGCCAAAACCCGTACAGAGTGAGTATGAGTTGAGTATACTCATACTCACTTCTGCATTCCTGGGTCCTGGTCATTTTACAGATCTAGTGAAAGATTCTAATGTCTAAAAGTGGATTATGATACACATTACCTGAAACATTATGAAACATATTATACATGACTTGGAAAGATAACACAACACAATCTTCCAGTATCATAGCATTATTACAGAAGTTTTCCAAAAGAGGAATGTTTGGGGGTGATATAACAATTTGGAAACAGTTGCAACCAACATCCAAGAGAGAACATAATGAAGGTGCAAAGCATTTGTTTAGAAATTTCACAAGTTTTTTGTGAATCACGGACTTAAAAGAAGTTAACATCAAAGTAAGAAGTCAAGTGATGGTTGTACTTTGGAAGAGCCTTCCAGATGTGAGCAAAAGGAATGCACATGATTTGTAAATTGTCAAATGAGTAAGACTTGTGATCCAACAATTGACCAAAATCATTACTTCCTTCTGCAAATGTTTTATGTGCCTTGTTTATCTCAGAAATGATACCCGCAAAAGTCAAGAAATAATTGAATGATGGAAGTTCAGGGAGGGACAATTGAAGTGAGTTGTTTGGTACCTCTGGCTTTGGAGGGAAAAACATGGGCAGGGGAGCAAATGGATTGCCGGCAACAGGGGGGGAGATTGGCTAAAGGTAGATGTTGACTGTATTAGTTATGGTGAATAACTGTTGCCATACCAGTGGACGTAGCAGTTGGAATAGGGGGGCTCAAACCAAGCAGTTTGCTCTTCTCCAACCCAGGATTGCCAAACAGGGACCACCAAAACTCAAGCTGTTGGCTAGGCAGATTGTTGTCATCAACCCCACATAGCCCATCAGCTCATGAGAAAACATACAAGGTCTGAATCATCCTTGCACAGAAAATGTAGACAATGGTATGAACCTGGTAGAGAAATGAATATC